AAAATTCCTGTATTGATACTAGTTTAACATCTTTATTAGACTGAAAGTGCAGAGGAGTGTGTGTCAACTTACAGCCCAACATGCAAAAGTGTTGTATCTGCCTATGAGAACTGCCCCTAAATTAAAGACTCTCAATTGGAGAGTCCTTTCTACGGGGGACCTAGAAGGAGCCTCCCTGAAGAGTGGAAATGCATGGCGAGTACACGCGGGCATCCCTTGGGCAACAGTGTGCATGCAGTGAGTCAGTCTTCACTTCCGGAAGGGTTGCACTGTAACTTTGCTATCTCTTCTTTTGTACAAATATTCTGATTATCTTATCATTTTAATTTGTTTTTTATCTTCCCTATATTTCATATCGAATCCACACGACGGAGTGAGCTCCCATTGCTTGTCCCAGCTCCTGCCAACCCAGCAGTTCGAAAGCACATAAAAATGTGAGTAGATATATAGGCACCACCACAGTAGGAAGGTAATGGTATTCCGTGTATAGTCGCGCTGGCCACGTGACCACAGAAGATTGTCTACGGACAAAAAAATGCTGGCTCTATGACCTGGAAACGGGGATGAGCACGACTCCCTAGAGCCAGACACGACTGGACTAAATGTCAGGGGAACCTTTACCTATATTTCAATACATCCACAATTTAAATTGTGCAATGCTCCAATATGAACAAAAAGGAAGAAAGAACTGGAAATGATAAAAGTACATTAACTGGGTATAGCATACGGTAGATCTTTTTATGATTTTGCTTGTGCATCTGGAATGTTGTGAGCTCTGATGTGTCAGTTACTGGAAAATATTCTGAGAAACGCAGTGCTGTCAATTCCCTTTCAAGAGAAGATCAGTAAATGTATGTATGTATGTATGTATGTATGGATGGATGGATGGATGGATGGATGGATTCATTCATTCATTCATTCATTCATTCATTCATTCATTCATTCATTCATTCATTCATTCATTCATTCATTCATTCATTCATTCATTCATTCATTCATTCATTCATTCATTCATTCATTCATTCATTCATTCATTCATTCATTCATTCATTCATTCATTCATTCATTCATTCATTCATTCATTCATTCATTCATTCATTCATTTATTCATTCATTCATTCATTCATTCAATTTATATCCCGCCCATCTGGTCTGGTCGACCACTCTGGGCGGCTTACAACGAGGAGTATACAATAAACCATAAAATTTTACAAACCAAGTGTGATACATGCAATAATAGAACAAAATCAATGAGAAAAGAAAATTAAGTATTGACAGGAGGGAAGGCCTGGACGTACAGCCATGTCTTTAGTTGTCTCTTAAAAGTGCCACACAAATCGTCGGAGGAAGGTTATTCCAGAGGCGAGGAGCCACCGCCAAGAAGGCCCGGTTTCGTGTCCTTTCCTTCCGGGCCTCCCTCGGCGTTAGGCTCCTCAGCCTCACCTCCTGGCTCGTGCGGGTGATCCGAGTAGATCTAGGTGGAAGCAGGCGTTTCCTTGATAATTGAATGACCTAAAAAATAAATGGCACGAAGGAAAATTGGTTAAGCTAGCAAGTTGTGGTAATGCTAGAGAGAGGGGAAAAATCCTGGAGGAGGGGGGAGAACAAGTTTTTATTCTCTAGACTACAGCTCTTATCTCCCCCAACCGTGATCTATGAGAATGTACAAAATGTATTAAGTAATCAGTGGCTGCAATCCAGAGAAGCACCAGCTTCCTGCATGAACAATATGGCTAAACTGACATTCGGATTTAGGAACTGAAACTCATTTAGAAGCAGGCAACACTGATAAGAGGGAGACCAAGACCTATGGGAAAAAAAATTTAAAAGCAGAAACTCTGTGCCCATTGGCCACTTATGTGGGATGCCAGAGAATCACGCTAGATGGCCTTTATGGGAGTCTCTCACAACTCTGTGATCCTGAGAATCTAGGAAGAGGCTGTGCTTCACTCTCTTAGACATTTAGCTAACAATAAACACGTCCAGGAGAAACCCTGCAGAGATCAGTAGGGGCAAGAGATTCAGGTTAGATCAACAAAGGGCTGCTGACAAAGGGAAATGGAAGTCCACTCAGTTAATTCTTTACCCAGCTCAAGTCATGGAGGCAGATTCCGCACATCATGAACATCAAGTAGCACCACCGTTGCCCAAAGATCTTCCATTTGAGAGCCTGTAGTTAATTTCTTAGCAGGGGTGCAATCAAAACATATGGTACGTGGGCGATACCTAAAAATTTATTATTCACATGACGGTGACTAAACTTTTAAGTGCTGTAAAAATTCAAAGCAACAGACTTATACGGGGTTACAAGCTAATAAACCTAGGAATTAGCTAGGGACCAAATCTTTGCAAAGTTCAATAGATATTTTTTGCTTCAGCACAGTGGTGATCAACGAAGACTCAGTAGTTAGGAGAGGCACTGACAGAAAATATCTACTAACCCTTCTAGCTTTTTCTACATATTGGTTACCATTGATAAAGTCTGCTTTCGAAGCTAAGCGTTCTGATTTTCAGCTCTCAATCCCTTTTAGTATCATCTGCTGGACGCTTCTGTGACATCAGAGCAGCTAAGCCAATAGACAGCCAGAGCAATCACAGCGGCTGTGCTTGCCATGGTTCACAGCACCTACGTATGCTGCAGTGGTACTTTTGGGGACCACAGGCTCTCAATGTCTTAGACACGACAACTGAGTAAAGGGAGGGCTGGATCCATCCAAGATCATCAAACAGCTGAATCAGCACAGCTACAGGAAAATGCTAGCGATACCTTTTTTCTCAGCATGTGCCTCCTTCCTGCCTTAAAAAAATGTGAACAAGAAGCCCTGTTTGTTTTGTAATCTAATAAACCCAAAGCAAACATTGGTTGAGATTTGCCGCCCAGCTTATCAGACATTCATACTGTAAAGGCCATGCGCTGTGCTGGAATGGAGCCATCAGTAACCACCCCACGATGCTCAGCTGTCCTCCGGCATGAGGCCGAACAAACAAAGCAGGCTTGTTGCTAGACTTCAGAAAACGGACTGTTGAGGACTACAACTCCCAGAAAGCTCTGCTCAGCATGGCCTCCAAAAAAGGTCACTTTTGTAAACTATGTAAACTGTTTCCTCTTCTTCATGCCCCCTTTCTAAGAATTGAAGAAAAGCCACATCTTCCGTGTATAGTTTTGATCTCAAGTGGCCCCAGAAAGCTCTGCTCAGCATGGCCTCCAGTCATAGTCCAAAAAAGGTCACTTTTGTAAACTTTGTAAACTGTTTCCTCTTCCTCATGCCCCCCCCTTCTATGAATTGAAGAAAAGCCGCATCTTCCGTGTATAGTTTTGGTCTCAAGTGGACAGATGCTGATGGATCAGACTGAGGCTATGGTCTGACAATGACTTTACAAAATACAGTACTTTCATCTCAGGCAATTTCACAGCAGTACAGAGAGCTTTCTTCTCCTCAGATGAATATTCTAGCAACCTGGGAGGCATCCATATTGCACTATAATTAAGGTCCTAGATCCAATCAAGCCACAACTATCTCAATGTTGAAACTGAGGCTGTCCTACTTTGGGTACATCATCAGAAGGAAGGTTCTGTGGAAAAGACAATAATGCCAGGAAAGGTGGAAGGCAACAGGAAAAGGGGAAGACCAAATACAAGATGGACGGGGTCCCTAAAGGAAGCCACAGGTTTGAGTTTGTAAGAGCTGAGAAAGGCTGTAGAGGACCGAACATTCTGATGAGCACTCATTCATAGGGTTGCCGTAAATCAGAGGCAATCTGAAAGCACCTAACAATGGCTCTTTAAAGATTACACACAGCAATATTCGAAGCACTCGGCTTGGCAATACTAAAGAGCAGTGGTGGGGACTTAAAAATACAGTACAAGACACTGTGCTCAAATGAGTCCAGAAGGCATATATGAGATTCAGCCTACCTGGTTATATGCTTGCTTCACAACAGTAGTGTTTTGGAAGGATTCAGAAAGACATTGCTTTAAAGTGGCCACAGTGTTGAAGATGTTAAGAGGAGATGCAAGCCAAGTCCTAGCTGAACCATGAAATGCAAAGAGTGATCCTGAACCAGACTCTGTTTCAGCTTCGCCTCCCTCATACAGTTGTAAAATGGTTAGGAAAAGACACCTACAATACCTCAAGTTCTCTACTATTGAGAGAACTGTAACTTAAAAGCAAATAAGAGAATTGGGGAAATAATAGAAATAAGGGACCCGAAACTATAAAGTTCACCTTTTTTTAAAAAGGGAGCTCTTGTACTTGGTCGGTGGCAATTTAGATAATTTCAAATAAAATGCAACCAAGTCGCTCTTCAGCAAAAGCTACTGCCATGCAGTAAAACCTAGTTTTAAAAATAAGTTGAAGTCTTGGTTCTGCTGGCAGGCTTTCCCACCTCCTATGATACAGCTTCCTTATCCCATCTTGGATCCTTATTGCTTTTATGAACAAAGTTATTTGAATGCTGTTTTTATCTTTATATTCTGTAAGCCGCCCAGAGTAGATTCCCGAATCTAGATGGGCAGGGTAAAAATGGAATGAATGAATGAATGAAACAGAAGGGAAAAAATAATACTAAATTTGGCCTGGAGGTTGGCAGGGTAAAAATGGAATGAATGAATGAAACGGAAGGGAAAAAATACTAAATTTGGCCTGGAGGTTCCAGCTTTAGCCATAATGCGTTGCCAAATACTCAGTGGGCTGCCTCAGCCCGTTATCTACTTTAAGGCAACAAAGCAGTTCAGAGAAAGAAACACAAAGTCTAGGCTCTATTTAAAGGGGCTAGGTGGCTATTCAGATTTTAATGATGTGGAGGGAGAACCATGCCTGCAGGAAACTACTGCAATCCATTTCAAGTCTTGCTCTTCCATGGATGCTGTTACATGCCATCCTGCTGCTTCCGACGTCTGAGGACTCTAGGAATGAATGCTCTCCAAAAGGTCCTGGGGGTTATCAATGCCCCAGGACAGCTCATCACATCCCTACCACCCAAGAAGCGAGCAATCAAAGTGGTGGGTAGTTATTTATTCACAGGATCCGTTTTGCTCAGACTCCAGACACACACACACACGTACATACAAAAATAACGCACGCCCCCCTCCCACCCCGTCAAGAACTGAGACCACCAGCCCAGCCTCCCTCCCGCGCTTCCCATCTTTATTTGTAGAACTCGTGTTCCTGCTCGTCTTTCTTGATGACAGTCTTGTAGGCCTTCTCAAAGTCCTTGGCCAGGACAATGTAGCGGTTCTCCCGCACAGCTAGCATTCCAGCCTAGAGAGAGAGAGAGAGAAAAGGAAGACGGAAAAGGGTGAAAGAACCACAACAGCAAAGGAAATAAGAAGAAGAAAAAGAATGAGTTTCAAGTTGAGGAATCTCAGGATAGAGGCACAAAATGATCAGGATGCCACCACAAAGGTAGAAGATAATAGGTGCCACCGGTAGATCACATCCAGCTATGAACCCACACTGTGAGAGTATCACTTGATTATGTTTATTTTCCCCCATCTTGAACCATATTACTATTGTTGCTTTTTATTTTATTATACTGTTTTTATTCCATTTTTATTGTTAGCCGCCCAGCGTGGGCGGGGTATACAATTTGTGTGTGTGTGTTTGTGTGTGTGACACAATACAGTAAAGCAGGGTTGTAAATATCACACTCCGAGATCATTTTGGGAATGCCCGGATGACGAAACACACTCCCCATGACAGCATCACCTGGTGGCTTCCCTCGTTTGCACAGGGTTTCTTTCCCATTCTGAAAGACCCAACTGCTTCTTCAACTTGGGGTGGGCAACCTCCAGGAGCCAAACATGCCCACCTAAATCTTGGAATGTGAGCCAATTTTACATCCCTATTCCTAATAATAAATAGGCCTTATATATAAATCCACATAATGTACACACATGGACACAAGTTCACACATATATAGTACAGTGTGCCATCAAATCAACTGACTTAGGGGCAACCCTTTCCAGGGTTTTCTAGGTAGAGAATACTCAGAAGTGGCTTATCGTTCCCTTCTTTTGGGATCATCCTGTAATTGTGCAGCTTGCCCAAGGCTACACAGGCTGGCTGTACTCCCAGGAGACACACTGGGAAATCGTACTTCTGGCTCTGCAGCCAGATACCTAAACTACTGAGCTATCCAGCCAGCTATATGTATACTGTACATACCTATCTGCCTACCAGACTTCTCTCAGTCTCTAGTGGCAGCAGGAAGCAATTCTGCCATATCTGGGGCTGCTTCATATCCATCATTTTCTCTCCGAAAACAGCTTCCATTATGATGTTTCTATCCTGCATTTGGACTGCTCATACTTGAAACATTTTGCTTTTTAAACCCAAACCTATTCCTGGTATATCAAAATATTCCCAAGCAGGATTTCTCAAAGAATTCATGACAAACTCCTGGCAAAGTAAAATTATCCTTCCACTTTCCTTTTTAATATTGTCTCAGACTTATCTAAATGCTCTGTTATTCTTGGCGAAGATCTACACACACAAGTACTGTCGCGTTCAGTCTCTGTGTATCATTTCTCCTTAGTCTGTTGAGAAGCAGAAACTGAAAACCCACAACCTGAAACAGGAACTGTTAATTACTATTCAGTGCTCGCCAGTCTCGAACCGTGGCTCCCAACTTTGGGTCCCCAGATGCTCTTCTACTGCAATTCCCAGCAGCTTTCACCACTAGCTGCGCTGGCCAGGATTTCTGGGAGTTGTAGTCCAAGAACATCTGGGAAACAGTGTTCTCGGGAACCATCAGTCTAAAATTAGTTTCATGAGATGAAAAATGTGATTGATTACTTATGTTTCACTCTAGGTAACTCAACGTGTGACAGCCATTCATTTATTTTTATGAAACAATGAGTATAGGTTTTACTTGTCTGCGTACAGACTTAGTTTTAACTATTATTTTAAAATGACAGCGAATGAATTGCTTTTAAGTTGATTTTTTCATAAAAAACAGAATGAATCACATTTTAATTACGAAGCTATTTTTCTCTTTCTTTATGAAAATGTTTATCCACACTGCTGCGAAATAAGGACAACAAAGTGTAGGTGGCATGCTCAAGATGACCTACAGAGGTTTGTAGCAGAGGCGAGATCTGAGCCTGAAGGCTCCTGCCTGATAGCACAAAGTCATCGATATTATATTAGTTATCACAAATAAAAGCTGAGAAGGAACATGATTCTTTGCCTAACTCATCAACCACAACACCTAATTAGAAAGGTGGGATAAAAATATTTTAAATAAATGAATTAGATAAAGGAAACACTTCCCTCTTGTTCATGGAGGCTGTCTTCTATTGTTCCAATTGCAAATGATACCAGATTAAAGGATAATCCTATAAACTGAGGCGAAGGACGCCTTCTGGTTTAAATTCAGCATTACAGGAATGCTAGTAAGCTTGTTAAAATTAATGGTACTAACCTCCTGACAAATCGAGTTGATGTCAGCACCTGAGATCTTATCTGGCCGTGCCACATCTGGAAGGAGGAGTGAAGGAAATAGAATGGACAGATCCTGATAGCTAAAGAATGAGGAACGGTCAACCTATGTAAGGCAGGAGATCCCGCTGAGAGCTTCTACACTTCTGTTCAAAACAAAGCATCAGAGGAAGAACTGCTGATAACTAGCCAATGGAGCAGGAAACATCCATTTCAACATAGCGACGGCTGGATTTCTCCCAATCAAACTGCTCAGGTGCTAGGACTTGCCCACCCCAACCCCCAGAAGAAGAGTCCCAGAGCAACATCTGAACAGTTACAACAGTAGCTCCAAACCTTGGGTCCCCAGATATTCTTGGACTGAAACTCCCAGAAGCCTTCACCACTAACTCTGCTAGCCAGGATTTCTGGGAGTTGTTGTCCAAGAACATCTGGGGACCCAAGGTTAAGAACCATTGTGTTAGGAGATGGGAACTGTAGTTTTGCAACATCTAGACCGGTGCTGCTTAACCTCTGCCCCACCAGTATTTTAGACTACAGCTTCGATTCTTCACTGTTAAGCAGTCTGGGTGGAGCTGATGTGTACTGTAGGTAAAAACACCTGGAAGGCCAGATTCTTTCCACCCATGCCTTAAAACTGGCATAACTGGGCAGAGACTATTCAGGACACAGAGACTCATCAGCCACCTTCCATTTCACAAGGAGGGGGTTCCCCGCTTGTTGGGCAGTAGACGGTGCAGAACCCCAGCCCTGCTCTTGATGACACCACAGACCAAGTATGTTCTGACGGAGGGCATCCCATGTTCAAGATGTCTCTTCCCTCCCCAAGGTGTTCTGTTTTTGCTACCCCACCCTCTTTAACCCTTCGCACTCTAGCAGGATACAATCCTCCAAATCCACTTCCTCCGAAAGGTTCATCTTGCTGGTGATGGTGGAGAAGATTAACCGTTTCTGGCGTCGGTCTGGCAAAGGAAACTCAATTTTACGGTCCAGACGGCCTGGTCGCAGAAGAGCCGGGTCAAGGGTGTCTGCTCTGTTCGTGGCCATTATCACCTAGCATGAGAAGAAGGGCCAGAAAGGTGATCATGTTGTTGCTTCTGAATGATAAAATCCACACTGGTCCCCCATCCGGAGATGTTCTCCCCCACCCACCACAAGTAGCTCTCCTAGAGAAAATGCAGGCTGGGGGAACAAAATACAATTGACAAACCAACTAAAGCCGACTGTAGGTTCCAGACAGACAAGCATATATGTGGAGGTGGCAGAAATCCAGTATTTGTTGTTATCCTTAGCAAAGTACCTTTTCTAAACTCAGCAATGTGTGATTTAAAAAAAAGAAAAAACCCTTCCTTCCTTCCGAGCAATAAAAGAGAGTTGAAGAAGTCCTGAAAGGAGGTAAAAAAAAAAAAAGACTGCTTGTTTTAATGTCTCATATTTTGGGATCCATAGGCAACGTCACAGCCGTGCCAGACTGTATATGTCCTATAACTGCAAACCCTCACTTGGTGATGCTGACTCCATTACAAAGCACGATGGAAGGACTGAATGGCATGGAAACCTATTTCCAGCGAGAGGCTGCTGTCTAGCACAAGATCACCAGCTTCCAGCTTCTACACAGAGCCTTAACAAGCTACTGGTTCTGCAAACAGAACTGGTCAAACTAGTCCTCTTGACTCCCAGCAGGGAAAAAAAATCAGGCCAACTGGGCAATGCACAGCCAAGCTATACAGTGGTGCCTCGCTTAACGGTAATTCGTTCCAGCGAAATCGCTGTAGAGCGAAAACATCGTAAAGCAAAATTTAAAAAACAACTGAAACACATTAAACCCAGTTAATGCATTCCAATGGGTTAAAAATTCACTGTCCAGTGAGGATCCTCCATACGGCAGCCATTTTCGGTGCCTGTATAGCAAGGAATCCATCCCTAAGCACAGCGGGGAGCCATTTTGAGCACCCGGTGGCCATTTTGAAAACCCTACGATCAGCTCTTTTGATCGTTGTAATGGGAAGAATCGGTTCCCGAAGCAGGGAACCGATCTTTGCAAAGTGAAAAAAAACCATTTAGACCATCGTCGTGAAGCGGATTCGTCGTAGTGCACGGTAATCATTAAGCAGGGCATGACTGTAATTGGAAAACTCCCAGACTCCAGGAGCTTTGATCTGCTTGTCAGCTTTCCTCCACCACAGAGTGCAGAGTTACTTCCCAATGGAGAAAGCTTTCAAGACCAGAGAGAAGGCAACCAGGAATTGCCGACTCAGGCCTATTCAAGCCCTTAAAGCAACACTTCTTGTCTTGTCCACCTCACCTTGACGTTAACGTTCTGGTCAAAGCCATCCATCTGGTTGAGGAGCTCCAGGAGGATGCGCTGGACCTCTCTGTCCGCTGTCGAGAGATGGACAAAACATTAGAGAAGGCCCAAGAGGATGCAGGCAGCCCTCGCCCCCCTCCACGGAGCAGGCTTGTCTGCACGGCCAGTTCTCTTGTCCTTCCGTCATCAGGCAAAGGCCTTCCTCCTCAGGAAGGCTTTTAAGCAGTAAGGTATCTCAGAACGGCTCGTTTTTAACTTACAGGTTTTTAAATGTTTTTGAATTGTTCTAAACTTTTTTAAAAAAATACATTTAATTATTTTTAAAGATGTTTTTAGATGGCATTTTAAAAATCTGTTGTTTTATATGTTGTCAGCCGCCTTGGGTCCCCTATGGGGAAAAAGGAAGCATATAAACAATTTAAATAAATAATGCTTTCACACACTGTGAAGAATATCACACAGGCCTCTCTGGCATGCGAGTATGCATCATGGGGAACTCAGCCACAGTTTTAGGCTGCCATCAGCGGGTTATGCTTAGATGGAAGAATCTATTTGAAGATAAACATTGCAAGAAAAGGACTAAAATCCCCAAACAGGCACAGTGAAATAAACCTGCTATGCCCTAATACTTTCATGTTTTTTATTTTTGCTTTTTTAAAATGGAAAATCTCTCTTAGGGTTACTACCGTTCACATAGGGTCAGCAATCAAGGAAAACTACAGAAGCTGACTCTTTCATCAGTTAACCACTTCTCACTCAAACACAACACAATCGTCAGGGCTGTTTTTCGACAACTGAAAATGGTAGTAAGCGCAAGAAGGTATCCTGTAGAGCAGTGGTCCCCAACCTTGGGCCTCCAGATGTTCTTGGACTTCAGTTCCCAGAAATCCTGGCCAGCAGAGATAGTGGTGAAGGCTTCTGGGATTCAAAGAACATCTGGAGGTCCAAGGTTGGTGACCAATGCTGTAGATGATTCTTGACTGCTGCCATTGGCGCTGTGAACGTTCAGGCTTCCTTTTGCTTTGTAAAGCTTGACACACTTTTTCCTGCTGGCAATGTGGACACAATATCGTGCAGCAATATTGGGCCATTTCCTAGCATTCTGAACCGTGGGTACAGGAGCACAATATTCCACATTCACAAACCCAAAGTTTTTTTTTTAAAGAACTGAATTAAGAAGAATACAGTTAAAAACACAATGCGGTATACATTAAAAAAAAACAAAGTATAAAACCAATTAAAAAACATTGAATAATTAAAGCAGGTAAAACGTTAACAACTGTAACAGCAGAGAAGTCCCATGTTAATGGTCACCAAGCATTCTCAGTCCTCATCAGGCATCTAGGGAGGTGGTCCCTCCACTAGGTTCCCGTTCCCATTTAGTTCTTAGGTACTGCTACAATCGTTGGTGTGTGGGTTTTATTTCCTGGTGCATTAGCCAAAGGGCAAATCCATTTGCCATATTTTATTTCCCCTTCCCAAGTACTGAGAGGTAACTGGTGTGATCTGCAAATCAAAACATCTACCACCTGCCTGCAGACGACGAAAAAAGGCCATCAGCAGGGTGACTCTTGCTAAATGCTGGCCCCTCCGATTTGCGGGTGCTCTTTCAGCTAGTTTGGGATCCACGCCTGGAGAATAAGTTGACTGTCAGTACAGATCCTAGGCAGAGGTTCCAGTGACCAAGGAATAAGGTATCAGTGTCCCACACTTCCTTTCCCTTAATACACGGTTTCCCAGAACGATCAGCTAAGCCTAGTTTCTATCCTGCACCTGCTACCTTTCGTGCCCTCTGAATGTGTCATTCTTTACAAACAAACGCATCCAGGTTTGAAATGACCAATTCCCAGAACAGAACTGCACAAAATGAACGAAGTGCTCACACACAAGTTACCCGGTTTAATCCAGCAGAAGATCTGAACACATGCAGGCCTGGCCCACTTCGAATAAGCCGCGGACCAAGTGCTAACCTCAGCTGGGCCAAGTCTCTGCTTTGGGAATCACATGCCAACCATGAAAAGGAGCCACTAAGCTCAGCAGATAAAGAATTCCGTGCAGGCCCGGGCAAATCCATTTGCCATATTTTATTTCCCCTTCCCAAGTACTGAGAGGTAACTGGTGTGATCTGCAAATCAAAACATCTACCACCTGCCTGCAGACGACGAAAAAAGGCCATCAGCAGGGTGACTCTTGCTAAATGCTGGCCCCTCCGATTTGCGGGTGCTCTTTCAGCTAGTTTGGGATCCACGCCTGGAGAATAAGTTGACTGTCAGTACAGATCCTAGGCAGAGGTTCCAGTGACCAAGGAATAAGGTATCAGTGTCCCACACTTCCTTTCCCTTAATACACGGTTTCCCAGAACGATCAGCTAAGCCTAGTTTCTATCCTGCACCTGCTACCTTTCGTGCCCTCTGAATGTGTCATTCTTTACAAACAAACGCATCCAGGTTTGAAATGACCAATTCCCAGAACAGAACTGCACAAAATGAGCGAAGTGCTCACACACAAGTTACCCGGTTTAATCCAGCAGAAGAATCTGAACACATGCGGGCCTGGCCCACTTCGAATAAGCCGCGGACCAAGCGCTAACCTCAGCTGGGCCAAGCCTCTGCTTTGGGAATCACACGCCAACCATGAAGAGGAGCCACTAAGCTCAGCAGACAAAGAATTCCGTGCAGGTCGGGTTCTAGCACATTGTGACAACCTGGGGGAGAGAGCGGCACCCGGAGGGAGCAGCCGGAAATGCACCAACTCTGCCAGTCTCCTGGGACCTTGGCAGAAACAAGCAATTCAGGGGCAAACACTGGATTCTTAAATTGCAACCTAAAGTGGCTGTGTATGTGTGTGTAGATGGGGAGATAAGACTTCAAACTTTCCCCAGTTCTTTTGTGAAAACCCTCCTTACTGGGAGCTTTTCAATTTCACTGTATTCATTCATTTCGATTTTTTTATATCACCATTTAGGGCAAAAAAATAGAGAGGCAACTCTTTATATTACATACTATATACAATATAACAGTGGCTGAAATCCCATTGCAGAAGTCTACAGCCACGCCAGCTTATGACGTCCTCAGCTGCCGGCTTTTATGGCTAACGTGATGCTTTCTAGTCCCCCCCCTTCTCCACTTTCCGAGGTTTCTCGGGGATCCCTTTTGCCCTTTGGGAGCCCTGGAAAGCAGGGGGCAGGGAGGCAGCTTCAGAACCTGCAAACTGCTGCCAGTAGGGTTGGCAACACACTTCCCACATCCCACTGGTTTCGGGCAATGAACGTGGGCATTTGGACACTTGTGTCTGCCACGCTAATAAGTCGCTCTGAATGACTCCGAAGCATCGCCTGCCACCATGCACTCTAGAGCGTGGAAAGATACACTTTTTATCATAATTCCCAGAACACCCCAACGGGAAAAGATTCTACTGTTAGACTGCAATTCCCAGAATTCCCCACCCATGGGAAACCGAGCCCAGGAAAGGAACTTCGTTATGATTTTAAATTGTTATACGATATGTTGTTAGCCACCCAGAGTAGTCTATATATGACTAGATGGGCGGGCTATAAATGTAATAAATAAATAAATAAATAAATAAATAATATTTCCCAAAGCCCTTCCCTCCAATCTCTGCCCAAGCTGCAATGGTTTCTCCAAAAACCTCCCAAGTCCTTCTCCCGTCGCCACCCCCAGTGCCAACTCACCCCCAGTCTGGGCATCAAAGCGCTTGGTGGCAATGGCATCAATCTCGTCAATGAAGATGATGGCTGGGGCGTTCTCCTTGGCCAGGCGGAAGACGTCTCGCACCATGCGTGGGCCTTCTCCCAAGTACTTCTGCACAAATTCAGACCCCACCACTCGGATGAAGGCAGCTAGAAAGAAAGAGTGTGTTAGACCTTCCTTTTTCCAGAGGCAGGGGCTGCTCATCAAGCAACTCATCATCATACACTCATCCGGACCGTGCTCAACCAGGCAGAAACCAACTGACCCCAAGGCAAGCAATAACTGAAGTTGGTGAAAACAGTAACATAATCTAGAATCAGTTCAAAAATAAATACAGTAGGGCCACAGTACTATATCTGGATCAGTTCCAAGCCCAGCTCCCACGAATGCTGAAGAACACAGATATAAAAATGATATACAGTGGTGCCCCGCATAGCGACGATAATCCGTTCTGAAAAAATCGTCGTTATACGGATTCGTCACTATGCAGAACAAAGAAGCTCATAGGAATGCATTAAAACACGTTTAATGCGCTCCTATGGGGAAAAAACTCACAGTTCTGTGAAAATCCTCCATGCGGCCACCATTTTCGCTGCCCGGTAAGTGAGGAAAGGGCGCGAAAACACTGCGGGCAGCCATTTCATTTACCTGGCAGCCATTTTGGAACTGCCGATCAGCTGTACTTAAAACATCATTATGCGAAAATTGGTAAGCAAAATGCTTACCGATCATCACAAAGCGATGTTTTACCATCTAAAACATCGCAATGCGATCGCAAAAACTATTGCAAAAAACACATCGCTATGCGGATTTGTCGTTAAACAAAGCGCTCGTTATGCAGGGCACCACTGTATATATATCTGTTTCCCTCTCGTGGCCTGTTATGATAATACACCTTGGAAACATCTATTTCTTGGTTTTTTTATTTAATATTTTCTGGCCATGGATAGGTGAAACTTCAGGTACTGATCCCATGGATAAGGCAGTCCTACTGTACAATAAAGCACTAAATTCGGTCAACAAAAGCTGTGCCTTCAAGGGCAACCACACAGCATGTGTTTCCCTGATAAGGGGGTCTGTCCGTCAACACCAAACCAGCACGTAGCTGCAGCGAGCCTGCCAGATGGGCAGAAACATTTGTGTCCTTGCTCTTCTGTTATTGTGTACATTTCCAAACAGGAGGAGAAAAGATCAAACACAACCAGGAAGTGAACCATCCATTCCGACAGCCTTGCTCACCAGTGGTGTGATGGGCCACTGCCTTGGCCAGCATGGTCTTTCCACAGCCAGGGGGGCCATACATCAGCACTCCTCGTGGAGGATCGATGCCAATCTGAAATAGCCCCAGAAAGACAGAACAATCACGAAGAAGGTAGTTTCCAGGGCTGTCGCCACATTTCACATCACAACACACACACACACACACACACACACACACACTCCTAAGAAGGAGCACAAGTTTTTAAAGACCCTTTGCAATTATAATACAAATGCAGAATGACATCTGCATCATTGCAAAATAAATGCACTTTCCTATATCTCTCACTTAAACTCTGGCCCCCTTCTGCAGAAGAATGCAAAATGCCCCTTGTTATTGATATTCCATCTTTCTAATGGCACCTATCATTGATACCCCACCAGACCTCCAAGACAACAAATAAAACATGTGACCTTCTTCCGGAAGGTAGTGAACACACATGTGCACCAGACAGGGTCATATAGACAACATCTGTTCACCTGAACCCTTAGATCAAAGGTGGGGAACTTTTGGCTACCATCTTGGACTTCCATCCCCAACATCTCTTAAAATTGAACATGCTGGATAATACTGATGAGAACCAACGTTCAAACAGCTGGAGAGCCAGAGATTCCTCCACCCTGGCTTAGGCACTACCACTGCTACTGACACTGTTCCACAGATACAGGCTTTCCTAGTACTCCTCCTTCATCCCTGAAGTGACCACATTAAAATCTGGTGAGCAGCTGCAATGCCGCAGGCCCTTCATACAGTGGTCATGCCCTTCACCCAGCTCACATATTGTGAGCAGTATGCACAAGGAAACTTTGCTCATCACAGACAACCACAGAAATAGGAAGCAGGGAGCAAAGGGAGTTCCACTTTGAAATATTCTAAAAGAATGTGAAGCCACTTTCATGAGCACTGTTCTCTAAGGATAAGAACGGCAACTACATTGTAACTCGGAACTAGTGACAGGAGAGGCACAGAACCAATCATTCATCATACTGACAGCTACCAAACCAGAAACTTCTTTGCTGTGTTCCCCCATCACTTAAACTCTAGTCAACACAGGTTAGGGAGGACGTAAGTGATTTTGTTCCTTGCAAAAGGCACATAGGTAACACTGTGGAGAGGATACATTTCTCCCCTATTTAATCCCTAACCTCCTCCTCCACCACACAGCAAAAAATAAGAATAAAAAACCTTAATAGCAGTTATCATTACTAAGACTAAGCAAAGGTGGATCAAGAGTTCCATAAAAGGCAGTCACCTTTTTTAAAACTACAAGAAGAAATGAGGTATAATCAGAGCTTAGGTGGTTTTTTGACAGCTCTCTGGATCCCCTATATCAGTTCTTCTCAATCTTGGTTTCCAAGATGTTTTCTGGACTACAACTCCCACAAGTCCTGGCCAGCACAGCTAATGGAAATGCTTCTGAGAATGTTAGTCCAAGAACATCTGGGGACCCAAGGTTGAGAACCGCTGCCCTATAGTCTAAGGCCTCCTGGAATTTTACCTCCCCAAAAAGTAATTTCCCTAAGTGATAAGGACAAACAAACAAAATACACATCCATGTGCCTCTAAGTGTCTCCCCAGCCAGAGATTTAGATCAAATACCTGTTTGTAGAGTTCAAAGTGTGTCAGGGGCAGCTCTACGGCCTCCCTCACCTCCTGCTTCTGAATATCCATACCACCAATGTCAGCGTACATCACATCCGGTTTCTGATCTGTACAGAGAAGAGAAAGAAGAGGTGGAACCAGGCCTGACGGGAGCTGCAGTCCAGCAGCTTCTGGAGGGTTTACACGTTCTTCCTGACTTACAAGCACTGTCAAGAAAGCCTGGTTCTCCTTAGGTATCTCTTTCTGCACCCGTACCCAGGGACACACCACACAGCCAGTCCTTTGTCCAAGAGAAGTGAAAGAACACAAACTTTCTCAGACACAGCTACAAGCGTAAGCAATAAAGGGACGAGCTTATAGGAGGCGGTCCTCGTGAAGCGTGGTACACGTAGGACTGAGGTCCCAAGCACGCACACCCCATGGCATATACAGCATTGTCTCTGTCTCCCCCTAATGGCTTGTTCTGGTAAAGACACCATGTGTTTTTTTTTATTTAAAATTTTCAGGCAGTGGATAAATGGATCCGTGGATGATGATCCGGAAGATAGGTGGACCCTACTGTATGTGGAATAGAACTTGGACTCTGTGTCCAGCCCACCTCAAACATTAGAAAGTAAGACAAAACATTCTAGACCTTAGGATGATGGGAACATCAGAAAACACACCGTCAGCCTTTCTTAGTCTTTCCTCGCTTGGGACACTAATGTCCTTCTTTTAATCCATTCATCTAAAGACAGCATATTTTACTGCCCCCCTCCTCATTTTTATCTTCATAACAATCCTATGAAGTTGGCAAGGCAAAGAAAGAGTGACTCAGCCAATATCTTATGACGAGTTTACGGCTCAGCTGGGACTATCATCCTAACCGCAACACCACAGGGTTTTCCATTCACTGTGTGTTCTGCAGGGCCTCACCCGATGTGAGCATCATGATGCTGCTGTCAGCCTCAGGAGGCAATACATCCACCAAGGCATTGCTGTGCTTGTGCAGAGCCACGGAGGCATTGGGCTTCAGCAGTTCCCGGTCAATGGTGCTCAATATCCGGACATAATAGTTGGAACCTGCAAGGAAGACACGGTCACAAGACAACAGCCTTTGACGAGAAGGCAACTGCCCTGCAAAGGAGGTGGGGCAACACAAAGATTCGCACTCTGCATCGTCCAGCAATGGCTAGGAGCCCAGCAACCATGGCTCACACCTTCACTGGAACCCTTGTATCCTGCAAAAATCAGCTCAGAAACCCACTTTCTTTGGACTACCCCTCCCAGGATCCTCTAGGCCAGTGGTTCCCAATCTTGGGTAACCCAAGTGTTCTTGGACTGCAATTCCCAGAAACCCCAGCCAGCACAGTTGGTGGTGAAGGCTTCTGGGATGCGAGGTCCAAGCACACCTAGGTTACTCAAGGTTGGGAATCACTTCTCTAGACAGTATTGCCTCTGTCCCTGCTAAATGCAAATTCGGAAACATCTCATTGAATAAAATAACTTTCCCAAGCTCCGGCCCCAATCAACAACTTAAGCCAATAGTTCTCAATCTTTTGTTCTGCCACACTTTCTGACCACTGGCTATGGTGATGTCTAGGACTGGGAAGTCCAAAACATCTGGAGGACCAAAGGCTGAGACCACTGCATGCAGAATAAGGCAAGAGTGGGCAGCTAAGTCTAATTGCCATTTTAGGGCTGGCGCATTCTGGAGAACAAGAGCAGCAGCCCCCAGCCACCTGAACCTTGCACTGGAAGGCGAGCTGCTCAGAACATCTCGACACGGGGGGCCTTCTGGATCACACCTTCTTCCCCTGCACACCTGGCGGTAAGAAAGGAGGTAGCCAAGATACCTGTGGTGGAGCCAACAATGGCTGTGTTCTGATCTACAGCCTCCAAAAACTGGCCAATGACAAGGGGGATGCTCTGGATTCGTTTCACCTCCTCCTGGGCATGCAGAAACTCCTTCTTTAAATTCTTCTGTTCATCCTTGATGTATTCCTCTTGGACCTCCAAGAATTCCAACTCTTGCTGAAGTTTCTGTAAGCAAAGCATACATTTCTAAAGCTCTTATACAGGAGGACCTCCTTATCCATGGGATCAGTATCTGTTGATTCACTCATCCACTAGCTGAAAATACTATGAATTTTATTCATAAGGATAGGCACCATTGCATTGAAAAAGAAACATAGTTAGGAAAATATGAGTTATGCTAAACTTCCTTTGGAGGCTTTACCTTGAAGTTATGGAAATCTTAAATTTCTGAAATAAATAAATGTATATTTGATTTACGGGAGAATTAGACTAAATTTTCAAGTGGTCAATGTAAAAAAAATAGAGCACCTCTGTTATAAAATGACAAATATGGAGTGAAGAGCAGAAACAAGAAGCTCTCACTGTTTTGCACCACCTAGACGCTGGCTTACAAAAGGCCAGGGCTGAAGAAAACAATGAGATCACTCACCTTGTAACGGCTGTACAGATCCTCCACATCCTCAGCCTCGGGGACTAGGAAAGAGAGGCCAGTCTGAGGCCTGGAGATGGAAAGAGCAGGGATCTCATCCTAGAATCAAAGGACAAAGACAAGAGAATGGACGGTGGGTCAGCAAACCTACTTTCACCCGTCCCACCATCTTCACAGGCACATGGCAACTTTTTAGCTAGGAGGATGTATCACATCAATATCAACACACCACAGTTTATTACTAACTCTAACAAAATGATATAAGCACCCACTTACACTAGATTGTAACTCGACAAGCAACCCTAGGAAGGCCCATTCTTGTAATGCTGAACCATTACATCACATCCTCATCCAGCCCATAAATTGGCCATTTGAGTCTCTGGAGAGGCCTCTGTCTCGGTATTTCTATCTCACTTGTCAGTTGTCTTTAACTTCCATCTACAGTCAGAGGAGCTCATGAAAATGTACCCAACTCTCCTTCCCACATCTCATAATTCTGTAAGGTGGGTCAAGCTAAAAAAAGAATGAATAAATCACATTCATGAAGCCAATTGCCTGGCCCCATGGCAACCCACAGCCTGGATGACCCAAATCTCAGTTCAACCTGCACATCTCGTGAACTCTCATCCACTGCACTGGCCAAATAAGATCTCGCTAGGCTATGGAGGTTTGCAACAATATAAAGCTGTTTTTCTTTCACTGGGCAGAGGGAGAGCTCATATCACATGGAAACTAAGAACAGACTACAAATCAGATCTCTCTTTCAGATCTCACTTTTTATGACAACTGACTGAAGCTGGTTGTGTTCTGGCAATGACTCCCTCCCCCTTCTCTAAATCAGCAAGATGCAAACAGGAGAGGCTGTTCTGTCTCTGTCCCACGGTCTTCATAGGTGTGCTTGGTGGGGACACAGGAGAGGGCCTTCTCTGTGGCTGCTCCCAGACGTTGGAACTCCCTCCCACTGGAGGCCAGGCCGGTCCCATTTTTCCTGGCCTTTTATATGCAATGGTCTTTCTCTTCAAGCAAGCTTTTCCTTGGTGACTGGCTGCCAGAGTTGGGTCATTAAATGTTGTGCTTCTCCCCTTTGAATGTGGTTTTGGTGTTGTTTTTGTTTACTATTTCTCTGCATTCTCAGAGTGATATTTTGTATATTTATTCTTTTTAGCTTTAAATATTGTCTTTTAATGATGTAAGCCACCTTGGGTCTTTCTTAAGGACAAGGGCAGGGTAAAAAGTATTATAAACAAACACCTTAAAATGAGACAATAGTCACAAAGTTCTTCAAAAGTGTTATACAGAGGTTAAAACAGCAACCAATTGCCAACTCTAGAGATGAGCAGGTAAATTTAAATGATAAAATTGTTCTGCCTCCAGGATTCATGGGGGGGGGGCATTCCACTTCTCCAATAAGGCAGAATGAATTGAAAAATGAAATAAATGCACATTGAAACCTATGAGTGGTGACAAGAGAACAAGGTTCTTTCCCCCTATACCTCTCTTTGCTGTCCTATATAGCACTAGAGAACTCTGGTTTGAAGCTATCACTTCCAAACCGACCTGCACTTTGCCACCTCAGTTTGCTGTTTTAAGACATACTCTTTCTCTTCACACCCACACAGACAAGAATAGGGAACAGAGGAGATCTGGAACCATCCAGAGCTCATAGCTGTTTGCAAATAGATAAGAAGAGCAAAGGGTTTTTCTTTCCCCCACAGAATATTGCATTTTGCACAGAATTCTGATGAAAGGGTCGCGAGGGAGTTATATTTTTCAAAATAGGTATTCGACATTCATTGCTTATAACCATTCTTGTTTCCAGCAAAATGAAGAGCTATTCAGGGTGAAATCACAACATCTAAGTCTTGTAGGCATCCTTCAGTCTCAAGAGACTATGGTAACGTGCTCTGAACAGAGGACTTGTGTGTGTTCGCTACCTGGAAGACCCTGAAAAGTGTCGCCATTAAGTCAGTTATTATGATTTCCAGCTGTGAATCGGTACAAGACTGCAACTTATTGATTGATTGATTAAGTGTGGTTGAGAAGGCCAATATGAGAGTGGCCATCCCTTCCGCATGGAAGACAAACACCATCCATCGCCTGTCTAGCTGCCTGATTTTGCTGCTTTCGGGACTGCCTCTTTGCCTCGGCCTGCTGGACAAGGGTCTCTTCAAATTGGGAGAGGCCATGATGCACCGCCTGTCTCCAGGCTGAACGCTCAGAGGTCAGGGTTTCCCATCTGTTGAGGTCCATTCCTAAAGCCTTCAGATCCCGCTTGCAGATATCCTTGTATCACAACTGTGGTCTCCCTGTGGGGCGATTTCCCTGCACTAATTCTCCATACGGGAGATGCTTTGGAATCTGACCATCAGCCATTCTCACGACATGCCCGAGCCAACATAAACTTCTAAGAACCACATTATATTGCCTACAACTTCTTCGTCTTTACATCCTAAAGCTAGCATGAAGACTCCACATCAAGTTTCCTTTACCCATACCTTTTAGAACAAGCTCAATAAAGAGAAGTTTGTAACCTGCACACTTCTAGTGTCTTTTTTTAGGGGGTCAGTTAAAATGATCTGCGTAACATGAAAATTAGAACAAGCCTTTTAAAGTTCCATGGAATTCATTACTTGTGCAACATTAATGAGCACCAAAAAAAAAACAACCAAAGATGGTACATGACACCCATGGATCTACTTAGAAATAAATTCTACTAAACTCAACTGGGCTTTGGAGAGGTTTAGATACTTG